CCCCATTGGCTTTTTCAAAAGTGAACGACATCACATCCTCTTTGCTTGTCCTTTTAAATATGCTACGGATATTTTTTTCACAAATTTCTTTGTTCCTGTAACTTTGTTGTCATCATCTGACATCTTTCTTTTCCCTGATGTTGACAATGGAGATGCAAAAATATCTCTTCTACTTTTTGGTTCTGTTTCTACAGGAATATCATTGCCGCTAGCTTGAACCTTTACAGTTTCCCTGCACATTTTCTGGCACTCTTTATTAATCTCTTTTTCAATAAAAGTTATGATGTGAGCTCTTATTAGGGGTGCTTCAATGCAAACTTCGCCATATTTTTGTTTTGAGTTCTAAGTAGATAAATTGCCAGTTGCGTAAGATCAGGTGCAAGTCTTCTACTATGATCACCACTCGGCCAACACACATGAACATAAGCAACAGTATCGCTTGTACTCGATTCAGTTTTAATTGGAAATGATAAGTTAGTTTGGACTGCTTTACATTCCGTCACTGGCTCGTGTTTTTCATGTTGATTTGGTATACCGTGGCTGACAGAAGCAACTTTCCTGCTGTCAGAAGCGGATTTTGCATTTTTGTTTGCTTTATGCCTCGCTTGTACCCACGACTTCAAACTTCCTCTACACTTTCGGCACACATATTGCAACGTGTCAACGATTACAAACGACAATTGAACTATCGCGTCAATAGGCCTAAATTAGCCTGAGCCAGCTACAAAATTTTAATCTTTGTGATTTCTCAACTCTAAAACACATATTCTACAGAAATGCATGATGCCATTAAGTCGATTTCCTTTCAAGTTCACTTGTATTTTCCTGACACTCCTTCGGCGGCCATGTTTACTAGATTTACATAAATTATGAAATTAAGAAAATATGTGCTACGTCATGCATACATTTACCCCATTTTTGTGGACATCGCTGGACGAGAAATTTGAGAATATTGCACAGTCCACACACAACGGTGTAGTGGACTGGAACACAGGCTAGCGACCACTGCGATTTCATGTGTGGAAGCATCGCAAAAGATATGGAGCTCGCATTTCACTTCCTCCATTGGGGTTGTGGAGTAGGCACGGGGAACATGGAGTTGTTGCAGGTTAGCAAGGGAGTCACACTGGTTGTTCCAGGCAGGCTTCAATTCTTCCGGAAGCGGTTCATCGCACTCATCCAGTTGTCGTTCTTTTAAGTGACTTGTCATATCTCTGAGAAGAAACTTTCCACGGATTGTCACGGTGCTGCCAAACCCAGCGGATCATACAAACTGTTCGTTACCAATAATATACCATGCTTAGTGAATGGCTTGTGTGCAGTGTTGACACGGAAAGTGAAACAATCAGTATCCAGGTCCCAGCATACGCCCAAAGATCTCTGAACAGGTATGGTATCTTTGCACATATCAAGGGTTTGAAGGCTGGTTGATCGGTCTTCGGATGGAAAGGCTTCCGACACCTTGGGATAGTTCAAGGCAATTTTGTGTAGACGTAGATTGGCGGTAGCTAACATAGCTTGCGTATGTTGCAGCAAACCAACCGCTTACTCACTGTCAGGTAACGAAATTAGACCATCATCCACATAAAAGTTTTCATCCACAAATTCTTTTGCATCTTGTCCAAACTTGTGCTCTTCCTCTTTTGCTGTTTTCTTCAAGCCAAATGTGGCCACTCCCAAACAGATGCACTTTCATGCTGTAATCGATAACTTCATTCTGTGGATCGTTATTTTGGAACCATAAAAAATGTAGGAAGTCTCTATGTTCTTCATTAACAAGAAACGAATAGAACATCTGCTCGATATCCGTCGTAACTGCGACTGGGTTCTGTCGAAAACGGAATAATACGCCTAATAGACTGCTCGTAAGATCAAGACCCGATAGTAGCAATTTGTTCAGAGAGACCCCTTCTGCTAGGTCTTCTACAGGGACAGGTTCGGCAAGCTCTTTGTCCAGAATTCGCTTCATAAACTCGAGATAATGCTGCTTCATTTCCTGCTTCCGTTCGAGTGTTCGACACATGCTCTTAAAACGCTTGCTGGCTGTCTCACAACTGTTCAGCAATTTTTCTACTGGAATGGTAGTGGCGATGTCCAGTTTCCCGATTGATTCTTTACCATATTTTGTTCCATGACTTCGACAAAGTTCCGATCCTCTATCGAAAGTCCAGGTTTATTGTCATCCTTTGTCAGTGCAAAAACGTTTTCGGCTAAGCCATCTCTAAATTCGCCCCGAAGAAATGCATCCTCTTTACCAGTGCTTTGGTGAGGAGGGTGTTCGTGCTAGAGAAGTTGTTCGGGCAAGGTTCAAAGTTGGTTGTCCGACCATTGTGCGTCATCTTGGTTTGGAAAACAGAAACGTCCTCAGGTTTGTGGGAACCGTCTAGGCAGGCTTCGCCTGTACATCTCTACCAATGGGTAACAAGATATCTACATCATCTTCGATTTTGGGGATCTTATCAGCGATAGACTGGAGGTGAGGGTGAGCTAAAGCAACCTGTGGTGTGGGAATTGTCCATGTTCCCATTAGTGTTGTCCTTGCTTTCGTTTGGCTTTCCTAATGCCGGTGGTCCTCCTGCATGAAGGGCTGCTATGTGTTTATCACTATGGCATTCGATGCACTTGACTGGAGTCTTACAGTCCTTTGCCATGTGACTACTTGAAGCAAGGCATCGGTAACATATACCGTATTGCTTTAACAAACTTTTTCGTTGGTTGATTGGTTTGGCTCGGAAGGCACGGCATTGGTTGAGGGGGTGTGGTCTCCGGAGAACTACACACCAATGGCTGGGGTCAGAAGATTTGGTCCCCTGGCCGGAATCTGGTATGTCAGTCTTATATGACTGTCTCGGTCTACCCCGATTTCTCTCGTCTGGCTGGTCACCTTCGAGGGCATCTCTGGAGACCAGTTCAATAAAGCTAACAAATTCAGCGAAGGAAGGATAATCCACTTTATGGTCATTCATGTGGTGAAAGGCATGCCTCTGCCATCTACCTTGAATGTCTCCTGGAAGTTTCGATATAATTGGCTTGAGGTAAATGGGCTCGCCAAGGACTCTAAGTCCTGCCAGTGCACCGTCCCTTTTTGCACAGTCTAGCTCCATTAATAGATCTGCAAACTCTTGCAACTTTCAATTGTCTTTATAGTCAATCTTTGTAACACTTGTTAACTTTGCAAGATGCGTCTTAACTAACAATGCGTTGCATCCCTACCTCTCATCCAGCTTCTTCCAAATCTCTAAGATTCCCAGGTGTTGTCTCTCTATGTAGGCATTGCGAAGTCGCTGAACGAGCTGTTTGGAAGTGAGGGTGGTGTACTCGATTAACAGGGAAAATTTCTCACTGGGAGTTATAGTGACATTGTTAATCATGTTTTTGAACGATGCCTTCCAAGTATGATACTTTATGGGATTGTCGTCAAACTTCTCTATTTTATTAGCGATCAACTCCCTTCTGGCCATAAAATCTACATATGACCTCATAAAATCTGTACTGAGGGTTGACCTCGGTTCTCAGGATGAAATTCCGTTGCTGAAGGGTTAAAGTTTCTAGGACATGGTGTTGGCTGACTTTGGGGTGCTGAAGGTTCAGGATAGGGGTTGACCAGGAACTGGTGGTACTTGGGGATTGAGTAGAGGTATCTGTTGAGGAACTGGTGGTACATGGTTGTTGACTAGGGGCACCGTTGAGGAACTGGTGTATATGGGAGTTGGCTAGGGGCACCTGTTGAGGAACTGGTGGGTTGACTAGGGGTTCCTGTTGATGAGCTGGTGGTACATGGGGGTTGACCAGGGGTACCTGTTGAGGAACCGGTGGTACATGGGAGTTGACTAGGGGCACCTGTTGATGAGCTGGTGGTACATGGGGGTTGACTAGGGGTACCTGTTGATGAGCTGGTGGTACATGGGGGTTGAGTAGGGGTACCTGTTGATTATTGGTTCCTCTCTAAGTATTGATTAAAGTTGAGATACTGTTCACAGTGTTCAGAGATTACTAGAACTTACTTCAGGCAACTCTATTTCTTGTAACTCGTCGCATCGAATACCAGGTCCCAGTTCGTGGTCAATAACTTCGGCCCTTGCAATGGCTATTGCAGCTTCTTCCTCGAGACGAAAATTTTCCATACGGTCTTGTTCCTCTGTCTTCTTTCGGGCTAAAGCCACCTCCTGCTGATGGATTAATAAAATGGACTGAAACTCAACTGAAGATCTTCGTTTTTGCATTTCCACTTTTTTGATGGCTGCTGCTACTTCGGCTCGGGCCTGAGCCCGAAGTGCTGCAGAAGAACTGACGATGCACGAGAACTTGACAGTCTCGACCCCATCTCTAAGAGAATATCTTTCTTGCGTTCCTCAAATTCCATCAATACGGTTTGGAGAAACTGTTTACGATTATTCATAATACTGTCCATTGTCTCTCGCTCACCTTTGCATTCTGTTGTATTCCCATGTACCAAAAAATCCATATACGACAACCATGTTGTTTGGTACTGGTGAAATATTGCATTTACTTCCTTTGTAGCTGTTCGAATCTGATCAATAGAATCAGGTAAATCTCTATTCTGTGATATAACAGCCATCACCCTATCCCATAGTCTTTCTAATTTTGTTGAGTCTGTTTGTATTAGAGTTTCAATTGATTTTAAAGAGGGTTTAGCATTTCGCTTAGGACGAGCCGCTGACCCGCTGTTCCGTTGTCTGCACTATCCTCACTTACTTTGACTGTTTCCGCCACCTCTGGTCAGATATGTTGTTTTTGTCACTTTCGACGTTGGTTTGTTGAATTATTCGCTGTGGTTTCGATGCAGTCGATTCCAGCTGTGTTCCAGCAACCTGCTCTTGTTTATCTTCGCTAGTTTGAGCTTCAGTGTCGAGGGAAACATATTGTGTACAGCGACCTGATCCATAATATTTGCTGCGTGTGATGGTTTCTCCGATGTTGAATTGAAACGATAAAAACCGCTGTTGATATGTCGATCTCCTTTTACTATTCTGGTCCATCAGACCCCGTCTTGAGGCCCTTCTCCAGCAGTGAACCGTTCACAAAAAAACACTGAAATATATAGGTTTATATTTTTATTTATTTGTAAGTTAATATGCGGTAAAAGGAGAATGCTATATGGAGCGATCGAAACCAAACCAAACATGCTATCCCAAGAAACAATCCCCTTCCCCCGACAGCACACAGCCAAACCAATGAAAACAACGTCCACAAAGAATATGTCCGCGAAAACAGCAGCCAAATCAAAGGCACTACACAAAGTATCAAATGTGGCCACATGGCCAGAATATATGTAAATATGCTTTTGCTATGACCAGCCTGGTTACAATTGCAACAAATTAATTGCCAGCAAACATTGTATACAGCTGTATTTTCCATAACTACCAAGTACTTGTTGTGTTTGCACCACTTGGGTTCCTTGTGTATCCGCCATTGATACTATTGTATTAAAACGTGTTTTGTACTGCCAATGATTGATTGAGTATATTATTCGGACAGCTAAGGTAAAATAATTTGGTGTTATAAACAAAGTGAAATAATGAAGGGAGTGTTTTTGCTGCTTTAGGTGTTGGTAAGTTTGCTTTGACGTTTTATGTTACTGGCTTGACGTTTTATGTTACTGGCACTAGGAGTAAGCCAACCAGCTTTCGGAAAACCAACCCCTTGTTTATGATACTTGTGTATGCATACTGTACCTTAAAATGTTATCTACAGACTGTAAAAATTATCTTGAAGGCACTCTTCTGTAGTTGTTGCATCATGTAGTAGTTGTTACATTATGTTTTCCTCTACCAACAAGTTTTGCAGACTTTCTTTTGTTGTACCGGGGGCCAAAAAAAATAATCCTCATTGAGTCAGTATAACTTAAAAATAAAAAGAGCTATTACGCTTAAGCAGGAAGCATTTAGTTCAGTAATGTCCAACTTAAATTTTGGTGTATGCCATCTCTATTATAACACAGTTTGGTAGAGATATTTGAGTTTGAAAATAATTAAACATTTTCATAATTGTGGAAAATTGGGAAAAGAACAGCCTATTAACTAATTTTGACAACCAGTAACGCAACTATTCAATATCTTCAGGGGCAATTTCCTTGCCGATTGATGAATAAACTGGGTGATTGGTCTTGGCCCCCTCATTCTGCTGACTTGACAATGTGCGATTTTTTTCATTAGGGCTACTTGAAGCGTCAAATGTGGATCAACAACCAAATAATTAGAGAGCTTCGCCAGGTAATTGTAACAGCATGCCACAACATATTTTTGAGTATGGCTTGCCCAAATCTTTTTTTTATTCATTCAGAACAAAATTCTCAGAACTGCCAGGTAACCTCTGGACTATGGGAATGCTCAGGATAAAGGAGAATGTAATCAGCATATTTGTCAAACTGTTTAAAGTGTTTGGTATGTTTCTCTATTACTGCCTTGAGTAGGTTGTCTGTGTTGCAGCTAGATGCAATAACCAATCGAAGTGTTCTTCCCTTGAGCCTTTTTAGCTTTCCACCATTGGCTTCTAAAACCCCAACTTGAACTTGAACTTCTTCATTACTTTTTGCTTTTTTTGCTAATTGGATTTTTTTTGTTCAAGCTACAATCCGGGCCAAAACTTATGTGGATTTTGGCGATTTTTAAGGCATAGCTGATTTTATATGATTTGCTGCATACTGGTGCAAAACGTAATTGGACGAGCCTTTTAATCAATATTTTTTATCAATTGCGCACTTCATATACTTCTAAAATCACTGCAAAAAAGTGTAGATCGTGATTCGAGCTTTGAATATTATGCTACACATCACGTCATTCGATCGGAAAGTATAACATATAAACTTAACGATTACAGCAAAGCCCTGTAACTTAATATAATTCAGATGTGTAGTTCCTGTCTTAAATCATGTATAGTTTTCTGTCAAGCATTGTATTCAGCAAGTTTTAGATGCACCTTGAAATTGCACTCTCAGAAGGAAGCTGTAATATATAGTTAAAACAGACAAACGTACTAGCATATATCGTAAGCAGCAATACTTGAAGTTAACAAATTTTTAATACTTGTATGAAAAATGTCATTTAGTTGTATAAATTTGATTCTCAAGCACTTCAAGAATGCATAATCAAACTTGGAACTATAGTACAATGCATATTCCTATCACTCTCGTCACATATTTATTAATTATTGCATGCTAAAAATTAGGCTCGTGGGCACGTTTTTTTTTGCTTAGGACATCTGTGTCGTCAAGAATGGATTATTTAGATGCAAACAAGCGCAATTTTACTTACAAAGCATATTTTTGGCCGTTTTGTATCATATTAAATACAAGAATGTGTATTATTTTCTGTATCGTGTATTATTTAATCATGTATTACAATCCGGGCCAAAACTTATGTGGACACCTAATCCACTTTTGCAAAAATCATAACAAACGCCTAAAACTTAAATTGACTTGCACATCCCCCACTCCCCCTCTTCAATGTTGCATGTCCGACTTAACCACACTTCTTAGTTCATGAAAAATCCCATTCAACATTGGCTTGGGGGAGCGGGGGGATAATTGTTTAGAAAAAACACCATTCGAGGCCAATGTCTGTGGGTTGTCCACAACGTTTTGTCCAGGATTGTACCTACTTTATTTTTCTGAATTCTTTATAACTCAACGTTGATTTTGGGAAGGATTTAAACTATTTGGCATTGGAGGATATTGTGAAGGATTTAAACTAGAGGTTGATGCTGGAGCACACAAGTAATTGAATTTGATGGCGGATTATCTATAATATATAAAAGAATACTAGTAATGTTGTTATTATGATAGCTATATGGAGCAGAACAAAGCCTTAGCTGCGATGGAAAACTGTATATGTGACATCCGCTCATGGATGAGAAACGACAGACTCTTATTGAATGATGACAAAACCGAATTCCTCATTATAGGTATTAAACAGCAACTTGCCAAAGTGAATATTTCTCAGATCAAAATTGGTGATTTAGTGATAGATAAGTCGAAAGTTGTTAGAAATCTAGGATCCTGGTTTGATGAAAGATTCATCATGGAAACGCACATTAATAAAGTATGCAAAACAGCTTTTTATCATCTCCACAATATTAGAAGAATTAGAAAATACCTATCACCTGAGTCAGCGGAAATTCTGATTCACACGTTTATCACATGTTTATCACCACAAGGTTGGATTACTGCAATAGTTTGCTGTTTGGACTGCCGCAGTATCAGCTGGCCAAATTACAACGGGTGCAGAATGCTGCGGCCAGGCTTATCTGTAAACTACCTAGATTTTGCCACATTACACCTGTACTTTGTAGTCTCCACTGGCTTCCAATTAATTATCGCATCGAATTTAAGGTCTTATTAATCACATTCAAGGCAATTCATGGCATTGCACCTGATTATATTTGCAACATTGTAAACGTTAAAAAGCCCTCAAGTTTAACTTTGGCATTTCCTTTTCCTAATACTACGTTGGCTTTACTGCCATCAGCAAGTTCTATGACATGCGCACTAGGATTAAATTCTTTATCAAAGTCCACAAATTTTGATTTGTCATTTATAATGTGACTTGTGGCTCCAGTATCTACTAATAAACTAGAATTACTCTTATTATTTATACCTGATATATTAACTGTGTCCTTGGATGTAAAGGCAAACGTATGTTCATTGTTCTCACTTGACGTTGTCTGCTCGGCTGCTGTCTTCGCCGCATCTTTCTTCTTCCAGCAATTCTTTGTCTTGTGGGTTTTACTCTTACAGTTGCTACACTATCTCTCCGATGTCTTCGACCAACACTCCGCGCTTTTATGTCCCTTTCTCCCGCATTTAAAACAGTTCCCATCAAACTTTTGCTTCGTCAACATGATATTCTCCCCCACGCTGGCAGCCTTCCCACCATGTGTCTTTGCGCTTTCCTCGTGGCTTCGCAGCGTGCTCTTGAATTCGGCGAAAGTCATTTGTTTCTCTCTTTGCACAACTATAGTGGCAAACGTGTCGTATTCCCTCGGTAAGCCTTTCAAAACCATCGTGATTAACAATGCGTCGCTGATAGCTTCCTCGGCATTTCGTAACGCTGTCGCAAATGACTCGGCTCATATGACATAATCGACTATTGGCTCGTTCTCTTCTTTCTTTAGCGATGTCAGTTCGGTATAAAGCGAAATTATACGTGGCTTTCCCTTCCCTTGGTAGTGCTGTCTGAGAACTTCTAGCGCTTTCCTCCCGTCGTCTCTCGCGTCTTGTATCACTAGCGATAAACTTATATCGTTCAGACATTGCACGAGTTCGGCAAAAGCATCAGCTTGCGTCGAAGCGTCTGGTGGGTCTTTCTCGCTTGCATCTCGCACAAATACTTTATATAGCTTTTGTAGCCGCATATAGCCCAGGAACGTTACTTCCCACAACTCATATTTGCTTTCGTTACCGTCGAATAGCAAGCCTCTTCTGGGCCCATAACCTGTTGAGTTCGTTGTAGTTGTCATTATTATATAATTGTCATTCTTTATTACAAGAGATACACACTCTGTGGAAGCATACAAGAACTAAGTTTTATTTTACATCAAGTGCATTTATGTTACAATGTGCTAAATTACAATTGGTCAGAATAATTGTTAATCATGCTATATATGGTATTACAGGAAATATATTGTATTCATTGTCTTAATCATATCATTGGTTAACTGAACCAAAATCACAACTAATTACATTATTGTTATATGAAGTATTATGAGCATAACTTAACAATAATGAAGAGACCTTACTAGTACCACCACCTGGCAAATCACTTGTGACATTGGGAGATAGAGCATTTGCATCTGCAGCCCCCAAACTATGGAACTCTTTGCCTAAGGCTATTAGGACCACAAATTCATTTTTATGTAATTGGCGCAATATAAATTTCATTTTAAATTAAATTAAATATTATCTATAATACTGGGTGGCATAAAAAAAGTAGTCCTCTTTGATTCAGTATAACTTAAAATGTAAAAGAGTTCTTAACAACAA